TGTGTGTGTGTGTGTGTGTGTGTGTGTGTGAGAGAGAGAGAGAGAGAGAGAGAGAATGAGAGAGAGACGGAACTTCTGACAGGGTCTTAACACCATGATCCACCCCCAGCCACGGCCAGCAAGCACCTGCCTAAACTACTCTGGGATGCCTCCAGAGGCGAACCTGTAACCTTCCCATGTGGATGCCGTCACAGAGCATAGAGTCTCCCCACTGTGTCTCTGCTGGCCAGTTTTTTTTCTAACAATAGCAGTGGTTCCTCAGATAGCAACACCAGATCCGGCTCATAGAGCTGCTGTCCATCACAAGCCCCATCGTGCCACCTTCATAGTACGGAGGACCAACAGTGCCCTCGCCTGCTTGTCTGTTTCCTTGCAGAATATGTCTCTCATGGGGTCCTTTATCTTGACTGCTCTGTCCCTGGTGCCTAAGGAAGAGCCTTGTAAAGTGAAACGGACTGAAGCTAGGCCCTCGCAGGCTGTTTTCATACCCAGGGCTGGTCTTGTCAGGCATTCATACCCTTCAAGGACACTTCACCTTGAGTGAGCTCTCCTGGGTGTTTGCGAATTAGTCATTTATAGCATCTGTTCTGCCGATATTTAAGACTTTCTCCTTGAAAAAGATAGTCTCCACTGGACAGATCATCCATGAGCCACAAAAGGGAAACTTTGTTTTTGTAATTTTTTAGAGAGAAATCTGGAGAATGTTTCTTTAGCCTAGTAATTATTAATATTAGGACAACCAAATATTACATGTTTAATATTTTAATATGTTCTCCTTGCCCCGAAACCATATGAAGTGCACCATGTACCACAAGAAGGATTCTTGCCAGCTTCTCATGCCTTCAAACCTTCCTTCCAGCTTATAGGAAATGTAGAAAAATTCAGTTACACCAAGCAGGCAAAAAAGACAAATGGAGAAACTTCACTACAGGTGGCAGTAATGCGCAGTAACAGAGCATGCTCCTTGGGGTGCTAAGACCACATGGGAGGCCCATTGGATTCCAAGTGGTCACACCTGTCCTCCCAGCTGTTTAGAAGGCTGTCTCAGGAGGCAAGAGGTTGGGGATAGCTAAACACTGCCCAAAAACAAAAGATGTGTGTGTGTGTGTGGTGAGGGGTGGGGTGGTGGTGGTGGCTGTGTTCTACATTAAAGATAGACATAACACTATGCTTGAACCTTGACTGGATCATCTTTCTACAAAATCAGCATATGAGGGTTTATTTTTTTTCAATTGTGTAAATTTGAATATGGGTAAAGTATTACATGATATCAAATTCCAATGTGATAATGATAGTGTTGTTGTGTACAAGAATGTCTTTAGTATTAGGAAATGCAAGCTGAAGAATTTAGGAGAGAATGGGAAGGCAATTGTGACAAATGTGGGTTTTTTTAAATAATTATTTAATTTTATTTATTCATTCACATATTTTAATTTGACCAAAGAGAGACATAGAGGCGGGGAGGAGAGTGAGAAAGCAAGCCACCAGGTCCAGGACTCGAACCATGGCACCCCCCACCCCCGCCGCAACAAATGTTAACAGTTGTTGAATCTTGGAGGAATGTATAGTGTTCACTAAACTATCCTATCTGCTTTTCATGCCATGATGTTGTGTTGTGGAAAAACCAGAAGCCAGAAGTGAGCCAGCACTGGGAGAAATAGGAGAACTTCGGAATCTTTATTACGCAGGTGGGCACTGAGGAACTAGTGCTCTAACCTCCGAGGGTCCACCGGGCTTAGGTTCTTTTTATAGGGACAGTTGACAAGGGGGGCTGGGCTGGGCTCAACTGAGGAAGCTTTGGGCATGAGCAGTTGTTGTGCAGAAGCAAGGTAGGAGGGCTGCTTGTTGAGTTAAGGGGAAGGGTTTCTAGGAGCTCTGGGGAGAGGGCCTTCCTGTCCAGGGGCTGGAAAGTGCTGCAAGGCTGGTGGCCGCCCAGAAAGTGGTTTTTTACTTCAGTTGAGGCTTGGCTGTTTATAGTCCCAGCCAAGTGATCAGAAAGCGGGAAATTTTCCGAAGACACTTCTTCAGGGGCACTGAGAGAGGCCAATGAAAGTATTATGGCCAATTCATTGAACCACGTCCATTCAAAGACCAGTACAACCAGCCCCATACACCGGGCAGAAGGCAGAATCTGAACCTAAAAGCCAATCCCCAGGAAGCCCTGACCAGTGAGTGATTCCTCACTGTGGGACAGACTTTCTTAAACTCCAAATCAAAGGACAGTTACGCGAGGCATTTCCCAAAAGCATGCGGCTTTCTAGGATTTCCGTTACTAAACCAGACCATTGCAGTCGGTGGCCCCTCCCGACATTCCCCGTCGATTCTGGGAGAACAAACTCCTCCCAAGGTTCTTCTTTCCCAATTACCTCTACATGGAGTTGGAGATAAGGGAAATTCCTCCGGGACTCCTGGCCGTGCATTTTTGCAACTTGGAAAGGTGGTAGGGAGAACAGGAGGCTGGTCTTAGAAATTCTGGCTCCCTGTCTGCCACCGAAACGCCTACCTTCCGCCAACCTCCAACGCAAACTCAAGGAACGCAAGGTGACGGCGAGGATCGCGAGGACTCACGAAGGCCAGCGAGGGGCGCCGGCCGCGGCCCCGCGTGTGCTGCGCGCGCGCCTGGCTG